ACTATCCCTGATGACACCACTGCACACCTAGTTACAGAGCTCTGAGACTTTCTTCTCACCCACAACTATTTCCAATTTGGAGACAATTTATATCTTCAAGTCAGTGGCATAGCTATGGGCACCCGCATGCCCCCACAACATGCCAACATCTTTATGGCTGACCTTGAACAAAGTTTCCGCAGCTCTTGCCCCCTAGAACTGTTACTCTACTTACACTACTTTGACGACATTTTCATCATTTGGACTTTCGGGAAGGAGACCCTTGAAGAATTTCACAGGGATTTCAACAACTCTTATCCCACCATCAACCTTAGCCTGGACCAGTCCACACAAGAGATCCAATTCCTTGACACTACAGTACAATTACATGATGGACACATTTCTACCACCTTATACCGGAAATCTACCAACTATTACACTTACCTACATGCCTCTAGCTTCAATCCAAGACACATTTCCCAATTAATTGTTTACAGCCAGGCCCTAAAATACAACCAGATTTAATCCAATCCCACAGAGAGAAACAAATACCTACAGCAGGGGTGGGAAAAAGGGTCTCCGTGGGCTGGACCTGGCCCACCAAGCAGGTTGATCAGGCCTGCGAAGGCCCTACCTCTCCCCCGCCCCCAGGCCAACTAGGGCTAGGGGGTGGGGGAAGCTCACAAAGTTTCTTCCGCCCTGCCAGGAGCACATAGCACTTTGAAGTGTCATATGCTTCTAGCAGCGCGAGAGGAGACTTCACACGCTCCCCAAGCCCTGATTGGCCTGTGGGTGGGAGGAGCGCACAAAGTTACCTCCGCCCTACCCCTGCCCTGAGAGGAGGCTTTGCATGCTCCTGCGCCCCCAGGCCAATCACAGCACGGGAACGGGGAAGCACACAAAGATTCCTCTGCACTGCTAGGCGCACAAGGCACTTTTCTAAGTGCCATGCACTCCTCGCAGGGTGGGGGCAGGGCGGAGGAAGCTCCATGCAGCTTCCCCACCCCCAAGCCCTGATTGGCCTGGGGGCAGGCAAAGCGCGTAAAGCCTCCTACCACCCTGCTAGGAGCGCGTGGCACTTTGAAGTGCCATGCATTCCTCACAGGTTGGGGGTAGGATGGAGGAATTTTCATGTGCTCCCCTTTGCCCCCAGGCTAATCAGGGCCTGGGGGTGGGGAAGCTACACGAAGCTACCTCCTCCCTTCCCCTGCCCTGCGAGGAGCGCATGGTACTTAGAAAAGTGCTGCATGCTCCTAGCAGGGCAGAGGAATGTTTGTGCACTTCCCTGCCCCCACGCTCCAATTGGCCTGGGGGTAGGTGAGCATGCAAAGCCTCTTCCCACCCTGCCAGGGGCATGGGTTCTTAGTGGGAAAGGGGGGGATAAAGGGGCTCCCCCAACCCCAAACCAATCCTAGTCTGTGGGTGGGGAAGCCTGGAAGCATCCTGCCCCTCCCTTTCAATTTTAGGCCCCGCCCCTTCCACCTTGCTCTGGCCAAAAATTATTGCCCACCCCGACCTACAGGATTTATATAAAGCATTCTTAAAACTGAAATACCCACCCAGAGAAGTGAAAAACAGATTGACAGAGCCAGACGAGTACCCAGACATCAGCTACTTCAAGATAGGTCCTACAAAGAAAACATCAGGAAACCAGTTGTCATCACTTACAGCGCCCAACATAAACCTTTCCAACACATTAACAACCATCTACAACCTAACCTGGAAAATGATCCTTCACTCTCACAAACCTTGGGGGACAGACCAGTCCTCTCCTACAGACAATCCCCTAACCTCAAACAAAATAACATAGTCTGCATCTATACTACAAGAAGTTATTTTGACATAATGTCAAAATAATGTTGAGCTGGAGGACTTTTTTCTCCAACTCCTGTAACCATCATGTTATGAGGAGTAAGGGAAGTCGGAGGAAGAGTGCATCGATAGCATCAAAAGCCGAAATAAGCTATTTTCACTTAAGCTATGCACTCGATGTAGCTCAAGTTGCGTATCTTATTTTGTCTTTTACCCTGCTATGTAGATGTGCCCTTGATTATGTTCCTTTTTTATTATCAAAGAAAAAGTAAAACTCTGATTCCTCTCTGCCATTTTAATTTATTCTAATTTTGAAAACTTCCATGGGTTACAAAATTATACTGAGTTCAGAACTGTATTGGTGAAAATTTGTTTGGAACACCAGAATTCAAAAGAACACTTCAATTCTCTGTCCCTTCTTTAATTTAGAAATATTTAAAGCAGTACATATCAAATCTAGTAAATAAAGTTCACTCCTGGGCTTCAACTTGAAGTAATCGATTAAGCCAACAACACTTTAATAGTTGGCTCCCTCAAATGGAAACCTTTACAGATTTCCAATTACAATTTTACTGTTGGGAATTAAACCATTTTCTACCGATGTAAGTACAATTAGGAAGAAAGAAAGGTTATATTTCTAGATAGAGAGCAGTGGTACTACTGCGAGATGAAAAAAACTATGAAACACTTGTTAGGGGGCTGGAGAACCCTTCCTTACCTGCAGCACATTAAGGGCAAAAGTCAAATTAAGATACGTAATTTCAGCTACATCAATTGCGCAGCTTAAGTCGAAATAGCTTAATTCAGCTTTTGGAGCAGTGTACAGGCAGTCCCCAGGTTACGTACAAGATAGGGATTGTAGGTTTGTTCTTAAGTTGAATTTGTATGTAAGTCAGAACTGGCGTCCGGATTCAGCCGCTGATCAGTTTCAACAGGCTGAATTTGGACGCCTGGGACAGAGCAGCTGGGGCGCTGCCGGGTAGGTCCCCACAGCGCCGCACCTCAGTGCTGTGGGGACCAACCCGGCAGCACCCCAGGTGCTCTACCCCAGGTGTCCCCAAGTCAGCTGCTGCTGAAACTGATCAGCGGC